TATACGTGTATGGGTGAGGGTGTGGGTGGGTGCGTATGTGCGTGTGTGGTTGGGTGCTAACGTATGTATGATCGCGTACGTACGTGTATCCGTCCGTGTGCGTGTATGCGTGCGTGTGGTGCGCAGGCGTGTGCATGCATGTGCGCGTGAGTGCACGCGCGCGTCTGTTTGCATGTATGCTCTGTGTTCGTATGCACCTATCCAAGTGTGCGCGTGCGCGTATGCATGTGAGTATACACACGTTCAGGCAGGCGCGCACGGGGGTGGGGGTGGCTGGTAAACTGGAGTCAGTGTGAGAGTAGGAGTCAGGGGAAGGTAGGAGCAGGCATGAGGAATCCGTCCGTATTCAAAACATTTTTATTATATATCCGTGTCAAAGCCTCCACCCTTCTGTGCGTGGGGAGCAGTGTACGGTGCGGTGTGTGCATCCGTTCTTCCTGCGCGCGCTTAACTACGGCCCTTACAATCGTTGCCACGAGACTTGCCGCGCTCCTGCTAAAAGAGCCGCTAATTGCTGCTCTTTACACGCGCAAGCCTATCGACTCGAAATATCCACCGTATGAAGAAGTGATATGGTTCTATAGCTACAAAACATCTACGCCATTATGTACACCCACACACATATACATACACAGACCCATGCACGCACGCACGCACGCGCACACACACGTACGTATATATATATATATATATATTCAGCTGTGTGAGGACAGTGTGTTAGCTTCCTCTTACGTGCGCCTACAGTTATCTATAGAAATCACCAGCGCTTCAATTACGGTGACATAATAGAGTCATTAGCGACTCAGCACTCTGTCTCGGACCCCCCCTCCCGCTTCTTCCCTCCTTCCGCCCCACCTTCCGTCCTCCGTCATCCCTCCTCCCCGTCTCATTCCCTCCCCTGTCCTCCCCTCCCACTTCCCTCCTTCCGCCCCACCTTCCGTCCTCTGTCATCCCTCCTCCCCGTCTCATTCCCTCCCCTGTCCTCCTCTCCCGCTTCCTGCATCGCGCATCCCTCCTACCCGCCTTCCTACTGCTCACCCACCCCCCTCCTGACGCCCGCTCGATAGCTGAACACAACGTTCCCCTGTTTAACAACAGAACGTTGCCCGTAACGACGGTAACTAGTAACTCTCAATGCTCTATAGGAAATCATTATGTTTGGTTAGACATGCGACGCATACAACCACCGCTGCCAGCCGCGGCTGCCGCTTCTCGTGCATCCCATTAAAGTTAGATGAACGAAGCCTCGTGCTATAGGCTATATTATCTGGTCATGATATTGTGGCAGCAGCAGCAGCAACGCGGGCAGTTTTAACTGCCAGACCGCCTTTAAGCACCGCCTTTCTCTACTCGCTCGCGTTTCATCTCTTTTTGAGAAACGAGGAGGCGGAAATCGCGTGACGAGAAACGTGGCAGACGACGCAATAGCCGCGCGCGGGAAACGAATATCGGCGGCGCCGATACGTTAGCGCTGCGCCGCCCCTCGGCGGCCATCTTGTGAATTATTAACGCCGCGTGTATAAATTTTACATGCGCGAGTTACATTCGGTAGTCGATGAGCTGCTACCTGTTCCTAATGGCAGGTGCGAATAACAATAGGCGGGTGAGATGTGTCGATGCGGGAATAATCGTCATCGTCGTCGTCATCGTCATCGTCGTCGTCATCGTCATCGTCGTCGTCATCGTCATCGCCGGTCTCGTCCATGATTCTTTAAGCACGCGTTTCTGCTTTGCATCGACTAGCCGGAGTGACGCATGTAGAATTACTTGAGGGTGTTTGGTTGTAAAGGAACGCGTTTGCTTTCGAAGAGGATGTTTCTTAGAATGGGCAGTAATATAGTGGTAGGAAGGTGAAGCAGAGAGGGAAAAGAGAAACGAAGAAGATGTGACAATCGTGACAATTGACGCACAGCGCGATTGATGTTTTGTCTTGTGACTGATAGCTGCGGGAGTGACTCATTGCTCTGCCACCACACGTCGACTCTGGCGCCGCACATAGTTGACGCTAATGGGAATTAGCTATAGTATATATATTGCCGCCACGCAATCAATCGCTATTCCGGGCAGGTAACAGAGAACACACCGGTTCTGCGTTAATAATGCCTCGCCTTCTCTGACTCGTCTGCACGTCGATGAAAAGGCGGCCCCATTAAGTTACGTCTTTACGCGAGGGCTATATAGCTAGCTACTCGGCAAATCGCTGCGCACCTGAGGGGGGGAAGCATACGGCGGTTGTGTACGCGCGGCTTCGCTGCGAGAGTCAACTCTCTCGCGCATTAACGCAGACGCCCGCACGCGGTGCCGTCGCCTGGCAACACCCCGCAAACATCGGCGCATCAGCGAGCGCGCGCGACCCGACGCGGCGGCGAATGTGACGGAGTGAACACGCAGACACGGTAACAGCTATTTCCGAAAAAAAATGAGATGGGGTTATACTGATGGGGAAAAGGCGAATTTCTGTGTGGCGACGTATGGCATTTTTCACTAAAGCCTAGTCGACACTAGCAAACTTTAGTTTGCAAACTCGAGCAAACTCCGAGTTTGGCAAAAAAAAGTTTTCCAAAGCCTCCAGTAAAGTAAAGAAATCAGACAGGGACTGGAGTTTCCAAGAAATTGTTGATTTAATTCAAGAGTATGAAAAGTATCTATGTATTTACAATACCACCCTCAAAGAATACAAAGACAGGGATAAAAAGAAGGTCGCATTGCAGCAGATTCTGCCTCAACCAATCTTTAGGCAATTCTTTAGACTTTTTTCTGTCTGAGGCCCTCAATTCCTGAAGCAGGCAATGATAGACCCAAAACTGGTTCCTCTTTATAATCCAGGGTCTGGTCCATAATCGTGGCTTGTTTTGGTTTCGTCGACGACGTCGGCGTTGAATAGCAATTGCAATAATTGCTGCTGAGCCACTCACACATACTCTCTTCCTGTGATTCTCCATTGTTTTTGACTTATTGGAGGGAAATCGCCTCTTTTTTCCCTCCAATTTATGTAAACTTTCAGACACTTCACAAAATAAAAGTTTTGTAAAGTTTGTTCAAGTTTCATAGTGTGGACAGGCACCACAAACTTCTCCAAACTTTGGCAAACTTGAAGTTTGCTAAAGTTTGCAAACAAAAGTTTGGTGAAGTTTGCTAGTGTAGACTAGGCTTAACGTTCGTATCAAATCATAATTTTCTGTCATTTGGTGTCATAGATATTGTAGTGACAACGTCTCTTACTCGCACGACTAAGAACATAACTCGACATATTATGGCAGTCGGACGCAATTAACAATCTCCCGTGAGTAACAATTGCGCGCGAGTAACAATCACACACGAGGAACAATCACACACGAGGAAAAATCACAGCGATGAACAATCACACATGAAGAACAATCACACGCGATGAACAATCACACATGAAGAACAATCACACGCGATGAACAATTACACATGAAGAACAATCACACGCGATGAACAATTACACATGAAGAACAATCACACGCGATGAACCATCACACATGAGTAACAATCACATATGATGAACAATCACACATGAGTAGCAATCACACATGAGTAACAATCACACCTGAGTAACAATCACACATGAGTAACAATCACACACGAGTAACAATCACACCTGAGTAACAATGTATCGTCTTCTAAATAACAATAATCGTGTGTCACTACATATTGATAATAATAATAATAATAATAATAATAATAAT